ATGTATGTGTGTGTATGTATATGCATGCATGCATGTACGCATGTGCGTATGCACGTATGTATGTGGATGTATGCATGACAGTCTGTCTGCCTGCAATTATGCCTGCAATTATGCATGTAGACATGCATCTATGCAGGTATGTCTGCATACATGTACGTATGTAGGTGTGTCTATGTATGTTTGTATGTATCTATGTCTATCTGTACGTATGTATGTATGTATGCATGTATGGATGTAGATATGCCAGTCTATGTATGTCGATGCAGGTATGCATGTATGCATGCATGCATGAATTTATGTCTGTCTGTCTGTCTGTCTGTATGTATGTATGCATGCATGCATGAACGTATGCATGAATGCATGCATGTACGTGTACGTCTGTGAGTGTGTGTGTTTCTGTCTGTCTGTCTTTCTGTCTGTCTGCCTGCCTGTCTGTCTGTCTGTATGTTTGTATTCGGTAAGTAGGTAGGTCGGTCGGTACGTAGGTAGCTAGGTAGGCTGGTCGGTAGGTCGGAATGTAGGCGTGCATGTCTGTCTGTCTGTCTGCCTGTCTGTCTGTCTGTCTGTCTGTCCGTCTGTTATGTATGTATGTCTGTATGTATGCATGTATGGTATGGTATGGTATGGTATGGTATGGTATGTATGGTATAGTATGGTATGTATGTATGTATTTCTGTATGTCGATATGTATGTATGTGAGTAAGTATGTAAGTATTGTATGTATGTATGTATGTATGTATGTATGTATGTATGTATGTATGTATGGTATGTATGGTATGGTATGGTATGGTATGGTATGGTATGGTATGGTATGGTATGGTATGGTATGGTATGGTATGGTATGGTATGGTATGGTATGGTATGTATGTATGTATGCATGCATGTATGTATATATGTATGTATGTACGTGTGTATGTATGCATTCATGCATGCATGTATGCAGGTCTGTCTATTTGCATGCATATATTCATGCATACATGCATGCATGGTACCCCTACATGTAATTAAATGCGCACACACACATGTTTGTGTCTGTATATCTATATATACACATATGTATTATACACCCTCCACGAAGGGCCCCCGGGGGGCCCCAGACCGCTCCCAGACTGCTTCCAAACACGCTCCAGCCCGGGAAAACGACCCCAGAGAACTTCCAGACGCCCAAGATGACCCCAAGACGGCCCCAGAGGCCCCAAATATTGCCCAGGAGAGCCCCCAGAGGCTTCCCAACAGAGCCCCAGAGGCCCGAATCGGCCAATCCCATCAGGCACGCGCACCTTTTTACCATGCGCGACCTTTCGGCTTGCGGACGCTCCACGGCGGCCCAAGAAGCCCCAAAGACCGCCTCAAGACGCCCCAAGAGGCCCCCAAGGGGCCCCCAAGACGGCCCGAGAGGCCCCACGACGGCCCCAGATTGCGCCCAAGACAGCCCAAGAGAGCTCCAGGACCCAAGGCGGCCCTCAAGACGGCTAGCAGGCCCCCAACGAGCCCCGAGGCGCACCCAGGACCCCCCAAAGTCCCAGAAGCGGACCCGAACGGCTTTACAAAGGCTCCCAAGAGGGCCAAAGACGCTTCCTTTCCTCGTGTTGCGCTGGCGACGGATTCGAGGGCCCCCGCCCAGGGACCCCGACTGCACGTGGAGTGCTGAGGCCTTTGGGGACGCCCCCAGACGAACCAATGCAGCTCCCAAAAGGGGACACGAGGGTCCCAAGAGGCCCCAAAACGCTCCAAGAGGGCAGAGAATCGCCGAAATTCTGTTCCAAGACGCCCACGTTGGCTTCCAGACGGACCAAGAGGCCTCCAAGACGCCTCGAGAGGCCTCCAAGAGCCCCCCACGAGGGCCCCAAGAGGCAAAACTCATGAATTGTTCCATGGTTTTGGAAGGGTTGTGGGGTTCTCGCCTTTTCGGCTTCCCGACGCTCCAGGGATGGTCGCTGGGATGTCGCGGGAGGCCTCACGGGGGCCCTTTGGAGGCCTCTTGGGAACCGTTTTAGGGGCCTCTTGGGGGGCCTCTTGCAGGTCTCTTCGGGCCTCTTGGGGGCCTCTTGTTGCCTCTTGGGGGCCTCCTGGGGGCTTCCTAGGGCGGAGTCCCCCTCTGAGGCCCATCTTCGGGTTGGCTTTGGGCCCTCTTGCGACGTCCTGGGCGCCTCTTGGGCCGTCTTGGAGCCCTCTTGCGCCGTCTGGGGGGCCCTCTTGGGGGCCTCTTGGGCCGTCTTGGGGCGGTCGGGGGGGCCTCTTGGGCCGTCATGGAGCGTTGGAGGCTCGAAGAGTCGAGGGCCCGAAAACATTGAAACGCCTTGGGGACAACAGTGATGTTGGCCTCCTGGAGCCCTCTTGGGACGGCTCCCAGGGGCCTCTTGGGATGTCTTGGGCGCTCTCTCGGCCGACTGCAGACCATCTTGGGCGTCTTGGACCAGTCGTGCGGCGATGTGGGGCCCCCTTGAGCCGTCTTGGGGCCCTCTTCGGCCAGCTGTGCTACCCCGGGGGATCCTGGGTAGTCCCGGCAATCCCCAGGAGTCTCTGGAAGCTCTTCTGAAATCGGCGTCCTGGGCCCTGAAACCTCGGCAACTCTATTTCTCAGGGCTGTCTGAGCCTTGGAGCACCCCACTCCGTGCTGAAGGCAGTGGCGAATCTACGTATGCATGCATGTATATATATGTAAATGTGTAAGGCATCTAGATGTACATAGGTGTGTATATATATATGTATACATATATATATATATATATATATATATATATATATATATATATATATGCACACGTATACACTTCTACACATCTATGTATGCATGCATGTGTTTATGTATCAATGTGTATTTGTATACCTGATTTTATGTCCAATCGTGTGAGAATATATACAGATGTGTATGTTTGGTTGTATATATGTATAGGTGTATGTGTCTGCGCGCGCGTGTGTGTGTGTGTGTGTGTGTGTGAATCGTGCGTACTTTTGTTTATGTATATACGGGTACAGGTGTATACGTACCTATATCTATGCACATAGATGTATATATATATATATATATGTATGTATTTATGTGTAGATATGTACATACACACGTGTATATTTGTATGTATGTAAGTCCGTATGCATGTATGTGTGTATGTATGTGTATGTGCAAGCATGTGTGTATGTATGATTGCATGTACGTGTGCGTGTACGCATACATGCGTGCCCGTATGTGTCTATGCATGTATGTATGCATGCATAGCTGCATGCATGTACGAATGTATATGCATACGTATATGTATATTTACACACGTGTACATGTGTATGTTAATGTATATGCGTATATGTGTATGTTTATGTTTGCGTATATGTACATGCGTACATATATGTCGATGTAAATGTTTAGGTGTATGTAAACATGTGTGTATACCTATGCTGGTATGTGTATTTCTATGTATACGCATGCGCCTTATGTGCATGTATCTGTGTAGGCATACGCGTTTATTCCCAGATAATTTACACACATGGTTGCATATGTCTACCTACACGTATGCATACACACATATATGTAGACGTATTTGTTTATGCTTATGTATACGTGTACATGTGTATGTATATGCAAGTGCATGTGTATTCATATTTGTAGTTGTACTTTTATGTATATGTATACGTGTAGGTATGTGTAGGTGCACGTGTACATGCATATGGCTATGCGTATCTATATGTATACAGATATGGGTATTTATAGGTATTCGTATGTATGCCTTTATGCATGTATGCATGCCTATGTATGGATGCATGCAGGTATGTATGTATGTATGTATGTATGTATGTTTGTATGTATGTATGCATGTATATATATATATATATAGATAGATATTCATATGTGCAGATGTGTGTGTGAATGCATCTGTACATATGTATGTATGTATGTATGTATGCATGCATGCATGCATGCATGCATGCATGCATGTATGTATGTATGTATGTATATATATATATATATATATCTATATACACATAGATCTGAGTAGGCCCCGGGGGGGGTGGAAATCGGTTGCTCGGGCGCGCATGGGGGGCCTAGCGGGCCTCCTCGCTCCAACAGGGCCTTCAGGGGGCCCAGAGGGTACCAAAGGAGGCCCTCAAGGGGACCAGAAAACGCCACAGCGTTCCCAGCACGCTGAGCTCCGAAACGGCCCTCCAACGCCCCAATGGGGGTTTCAAGCTGATCCCTGGGGCGAAAATCATTGATTTCTCTATGGTTTTTCAAGGGCTTTCGTGTGCTCGCCTGTTCCGATACCCGACGCCTGGAAGGGGCACGAGACCAGCCCAAGAGGGCCCCCAATCACCCGAAGAGGACGTGAAGACGGCCCAAGAGGCATCCAAAATCGCCCCAGAGGGCTCCTGGCAGCCCCCCGAATGAGTTCGGACACGTTACAAGGGCCTTACACGACGCCCACTGGGCTCCAAAACGGTCCCAGCACGCCCATAATTGCTCCGATGCGGACTCAGGCAGCCTCCGGCGTATCACGGTACCCCAAACGGGGCACCAACCAAGACGGCCCACGAGGCGCACATAATCGCCCAAACGGGCTCCATGTGGTTCCCCAGCTGAGCTTAGACAGGCCACAAGGGTGGTCATGGAGGCCCACAGTGCTCCCAAACTGCCTGAGCACGCCCATCATCGCTCCGACGCGGCCCACGAGGCATCCAAGATGGCCCGAGAGGGCTCTACGTAAACTGTTACCCGAAACAGCGATCGGCAAATCATTGCTTTCCCATCGGCTTTGTTAGTGCGTGCGCGGGAATGATGTGAAAATGTTTTTTCTGGGTGTCGTTCGCAGGCTTAGCTCATGGTGGTGCTCCTCCGCGACCGCTGGGGCTCAAGCAACAACGCAGACGCGTCTCTCGATGGCCATCACGCTCACCCAGGTTTTTCTGATCGCCTGGATCTCAGTGGTCGCCCCCTCGTTCTTGGGTTGGCCGGCCGGCGCGGAGACAGTGCGCGCGGCTGGACCTGATCTCAATTTCTCGTTCATCGAGAGATGCTGCGGCCGCGCTCCGCGGGCGGGACGTCACCTGTGGCTGCCAGTGCAGTCGTGCCCGCGGGGCCGCCGTTGCCGCCGCCCGTCGGGCCTGCAGCTGAGGAGGCCGCGCCGCCTCCGACCTCACCCCTTGCGGTCCCAGCCGGGGCACCGTGGGGCGGTGGGGGGTCGGTCGACGAGGAGGTGGGGTTCCTCGGCGCGCTCGCCCCCGTGGAGACGGCCATGATCTACCCTGTTGTGCGCGGGCAGGTCGATGTCAAGGCCGTGGCCCTCGTGTCCTTCTCAGCGGAGGCCGCGTGGCTGTTGGGGAGCCAGCTGCCCGTGTCGCCTGCCGCTGGCCCGGGCTGCCGTCGCGGGAGAGTGGCGAGATGGCTTTGTCGCGTGAGATTGTCTGGGGTATACTCGCTGGGAGGTTGGTTGTCAGTCGACGGGGAGCCCGACTGGTGGACGGTGTGTCGGCTGCGCGGCGGCCAGGCCCTTCGGTCGTCGCCAGATCATGACGTTGTGGAGACGGGCAGGTCGCCGAGACCAGAGCGGACGTCGGGGAGTCGCGCGTGGTGGACGCCGACAGTGAGGCGCCATCAAATCCGACCCACTTCGAGACGGAGGGCGACCGCCGTCGCCATCGCCGCGGCTACCGCGGCGGCGCCTTGATCAACGGCGCGTATCTGCCCGTGCAGCTGGTGCCTGAGATGGAGGTCGGTGACTGCGCGGCGCTGAGATGGGCGGCGTTCGAGCTGGTGAGTCGAGCTGGTCCCGACGGCCTTGTTGCGCGTCTCGGCATCGCGCCGACGACGAAGCGGGAGAAAGCCGGTGGAGGCACCGACCCGCAGCCTGCCGCCGCTGATGCCGCCGCGGCTGGTCCAGGGACGCGCGGAGCTAGTGGGCGGACATCGACGCGATGGCCGCTCGATCCACGCCGTGGCGGAGCGTGGTGCGCGAGAGCCACCCGACGACTTATGTATTCAGATCGCCCGATTGAGGGGCCCGCCCAGCTTGAAGTGCACATTGCGCCACTCCGACCGGCAAGGTGGCAGCGTCTGGCTTTGGCTCGACAACTGGGCTCGTTCAGAGAACATCGGCCGAGGGGGCAGGGCGCGTCGCGAGCAGTCCGTGCTGTGCGAGGCGATCCTCGTCAGCGGCGCCTATGATCAGGTCGATGTGCTGTCGCTGGCCCCCTTCGAGATCATCGCGAGCCAGATCCCGGGCATCGTGGGCGCCCACTGGGGTGGCCCATCTCGGCCTCAGTGTGTGAACGCTCGCCTGTGCTCAGACGCGAGGGCCGCGGTGGACATCGCCGCGCCCGCGCTGAAGCACTGCGTGGCCAGGATGGGCAAGGGCGAGGCCGAGGTCGAGTCCATGCGGTCGCGCGTCAGGAACCTACCTGCTGCGGCTGACGTACTCGCTCCTTCCGGTCTGCCAGTCGCTGGCGCTGCCGCTGGATCAGGCGGCCCGAAGGGGCGGCCCGAGTGGCCCGAGGGGCCCGCCAAGGGGGGCAAGGTCCCCGACGGGCCGCAGGCCACGTGACCGCGGCGTCCCTGGACGGTGGGGCCGGCCCTCCCGCCGTCACCTATCTCGCGGGGCCGGCGCGCGGATCCGCTGAATTGTTCCCGCTGCCCGACGATACTTCGGATCCATCTTCCTGGTCGTGCCCGGCGTCGGTTTCCCCAGGGTTGGCGAGAGTGTGTGTGGTCTCTTAATTGGTTGTGGGGCGTAAAACATAGCGCTCGGGCGCCGCCCTCAGGTCGGCGTGCACCGTTGCCGTCTTCAACTTGAGCAGGAGGTACTGGTGCGAATCGCCCAGGGGGTCCAACTCCACGGCGGGCCGCCTCTTGATCTTACCCACAAGGAGGCCTACTCTGGGCTACTTCGAGGCCGTGGTGTCTACGACGCTGAGACGGCATGCGCTGCCCTGGCGCCCTGCCAACGTGGCGCGGCCTCTCTTCCAGACGATGTCTCTGCGGTTCCCGCCGCGGGCGCCCCTGTCGTCGGTCGCGCCCGCGAGTATTTGGTGGAGGCAGAAGAGCCGATGATCGGGGCCGTTGACGGTCCGGCTTGATCGTGAGACCTACGTCGAGATTGAGGTACACACCGACCCGCTCCTTGCCAACAGCCGCCGCCGCCGCCATTCCATGTTCGTTAGGGATTTGCAGCGAGAGGGGCTCGTCGGCTTCGCGCGTCGCTCCAAGGAGTGCGTCATTCTTTTGCTTGTTTTTGTTTTTTCCTCCTCGTGGAAGAAGGAGCGGCTCTCCATGGGGGTGGTGCTGGACTGCCGCCACGCCCGCCAGCGCTCCGTGCGCCCTCCAGGCCCCGGGCAACTTTCGACCGAGGGTGTTGGTCGCGTCGAGTGCGAGGATGACCCCGACGTCGCCTCGCCGCCCATGTTTTTGGGCAAGGCCGACGTCAAGGACTGCATCCATCGGATGAGGTTCGGGAACCACCTGTCTAACTACTTCTGCTGCCCTGGTGGGCTGGCGAAGCAGTTTTGGATCGCCGGCCGCGACGTCGACGGTGTCCCCGTGCGCGCGCTACGTCTTGCTCTGCGCGATGGCTCCCGCCGCGGGCTGGACCTGGTCCCTGTGCAACGCTCAAGTCGCCAGCTTGCGGGTGGTCGAGAACGTGCCCGCGGTCGCGACAAGCTGCGCTGCCACCGGCCGAGGGCGACCGATCATGATCTCCCCGTAGTCGGCCTGGCACTTCGTCTACGTCGACAACGTGGGCCTGCTCTCCGTAGACCCCGCGCGCGTGTAGAGCGCCCTCGGCGACGCGACCGACGCCTTCAAACATCTGGGGCTCGTCATGCATGACATCTCCGTGGATCGCGGGACCGCCGAGGCGATGGGCGTGCGGCTCGATGGCCAGTGTCGCCAGACCACGGCGATGCACCACCGCCACTGGAAAAGGGATCCTTGTGCCCCACGAGTGGCGGCTAGATGTCAGGGGGGCGGCAGCGGAGGCGACGATGCTGCACACGGAAGCGTGCAGCGTGCTGCGGAGGCGGCAGCGGCCGCAGCCAGCGCCCCACAGGTGGCGAGCAGCGCGGATGTCGACACTCGTTGAGGAGCTTGTTGCCGCTGCAGCTGTTGGGGCGCTTGCTGGAGGCGTGTGAGAGCGTCGCGAGGCGGCGTGCTAGTATGTACATGGACTGCCGTCTCAGGGTGGAGCAGGGTGCTGCTGCTGATGATGACGATGATGCTGCTGAGGATGATGATGGTGATGATGATGATGATGATGATGATGATGATGATGACGATGATGATGCTGCTGCTGCTGCTGATGATGATGATGATGCTGATGCTGATGCTGATGCTGATGCTGATGCTGATGCCGACGATCATGATGATGGGGAGGATGAGGAGAAGGAGGAGGAGGAGGAGGAGGAGGAGGAGGAGGAGGAGGAGATTGGCGACGACGTCTACAGCAACGGAGCCGACGTGCGCCGCCACGCCGCGGCCAGGAGGCGGAGAGCCTCGCGAAGGCGGAGGCCGCGCGGCTGGCCGATCAGGCCAGACGGCAGGCCGCCGAGGAGGCGCCTCGCCGGGCCGCCTCCTTTTCAGCTGTTGATGCGGGGGGAGGGGGCCAGCTGCCGGCGGTTGCCCTGTCTCCTCCTCCTCCTCCTCCTCCTCCTTCTCCTTCTCCTCCTCCTCCTCCTCCTCCTCCTCCTCCTCCTCCTCCTCCGGTGTGCGCTGCGCCGTGGCCTGGCAGCACGAAGGCGGCCTGGCGCGGCCAGCAGGGTCTTGCTCCCCCTTCGGTCTGGGTCAGGGGCTGCGGCCCGCAGGTCGGGGGGAGTTCCAGACGAGGAGTCGGACGATGAGGATACGGGGCGTGAAAACGACCACAGCCACTGCTTTTCTTTTGTTGCCGCCTTCCAGCCCGCAGAAACAACGCAGTGGTTGCGGTCATTTTCGTTGAGTTCGGCACCAGGGAAATGACCACAACTACTGCTTCTTTTTCGGCCGGCTGGAGGGCGGCGCAAACAGGAAGCAGTGGCTGTGGTCATTTTCCCGTCCCGCAATGTGTTCGTACCTACATTCTAAGTCGGGCATGTCCCTCTACAGGGGGACTGTTGAAGCAGAGTCAAAACACTAGCCTGGGAACGATTTGCTTTTCTTTTTTTGTGTGACTATTTGGGAATGTGTGTGGACTCTTTTCAAGTGTTCCTCCCAGATCCGCCTGTAGGAGGACATGCCGGATCTAAATCTACATATATCTGTTTACAGGTATATGGATATTCAGCCTCCTGAGCGTCTCGCCTCTCGTCTGGGGCTCAACGATCCCTCCCCAGAGGCCGCAGAGAGAGAGAGAGAGAGAGAGAGTTGTGCGCACACGCCACATTCCTAATGTGATTCGTGCAGCTGCTGAGCCGTGCCCTCAGGCTTCGGAGGAGGAGCTGGCCAGCCATCACTACACAATTTGCAGTGCCGCGCAAGCACTGCTTGATCACTCACGTGCACCCTTCCTTCCCGCATGGGCCCTTGTTTTGCCTCTCTGTATACAGGTGATATATATATATATATGTGCACATCTATGTCTCTCTCTCTCTCTCGCTTCATCTAGTTGTATGGTGTCCTTCGGCACATGACGCCACCGTGCAAGGTTTGTGGGTCAGACGCCTTGCGCATGCTTCTGGCAGCGACGAGCAGCGACGAGGCGGCGACGAGGCAACGACCGGCCACGACAAGCCGGCCAGTGCGGCAACAAGGGCCAGTTCTTAATCAACAGAGGGGGACACTTGAGTGCAAACGCTGTTTGGATGATAAGGATAGGTGCACATGAAAAACAGAGAGTGATATTGAACCCAATATTAAAACCTGCCAGCCAACAAACAACATGACATCGTTACAATCAGAAACAGAAGTAACCCATTGACATGAATAGGGGGTCTCCATACTCCAAAGCTTCAAGCAATTCCCGAACCTAAATATGTAAGAGAACCCACACTTTGGATCAACCATCTACCTTCTTGGCACAACGATCACTGTGAGGGTCCGAACAACAGCAGCAGCATAACACAACACATGCTATTTTTTTGAGACCCCTAGAGCGAACACCAACGCACATTCAACATTCACGCTCCTTTAAAATCCTCACATCGAAATGCAGCACCTACTCTTTCTACTTAGAACGAAAAAGTAACCCTTACACGCAACAGCAATCATACTATCCTGCACTTGGAATCAATACGATAAATGTACAACTGAAACCAATTTTAACACTCGGGAATAGCAACGATATAACATCTTAAGTTCTAAAGCAACAAGATAATGCTCTTACGCCATTAAGAGTACGATCCTTTTGAAGGTCCTAGAGGATCTAACTATACATCAAACAGTAGGTAATACTTCTTCTGGTATGCCTCAAAACCAAGGTTTTCGGCATCTGGCGCACCATTCTGAGAGAGGAGTGGGAGCCAGAGGGAGGGGGGAGAGAGACGGGGTAGGGAGCGCGAATTCCAAAACCTTTGGTTTTAATCGTTCTTTGGGGTCTGACAAAGATTTCCAGTTCGGTTTTTTTCTTCAGACACATCGTTTTCTAAGGTCTTGCATCGCAGGGATCGTGATCACAAGACTTTTCCTCATTGTTCATAATCGTGGGTTGTCGTATATATTTTAAGTGTAAGGTGTTGTTGCTGTTTGTTATTGTAATGTTTCTCATCTTATTATTGATATGTGTATATATGTGGTTCTCGTATGCCGAATTTTGTCATTGTTTTTGATTGTAGAGCTGCTGTACTGTTTATGATCTGAATGTTTTCCCATTGTTTTTGGCTGTAGCGTTTTTCTTATTGTGTTCCATACCAGACGCCCTCGCGCAACAACACTGCATCGGCATGCATATCAACATTTTGATTAACTCTTTCATTTCAAGCCCTCGAGCTGGCATTTGTGAGGGTGGGGTCCCCGCGGGGGGGGGGGGTACCATACACACATACACAGATATCATAGATGTGTATGTCTCTCTCTCTCTGTATACAGAAAGATACAGAGAGAGACACAGAAAAAGTAGGGAGATCGAGAATGAGTGATACAGGGACAGAGGGTGACAGAGAGGAAGAGAAGGAGAGAGAGAGAGAGAGAGAGAGAGAGAGGGAGAGATGAGGGATACAGACAGTTTCAATAATGAGAAACAGCGAATGAGCAACACAGGCGCTTGAATGGACCACAGGTGTCTGTGTGTGTCTGTGTGTGTGTGTGTGTGCGGTTATATATTTACACGCATACAGGGCCCTCACGGCTTTCTGGGAGGAGGCGAGAAGGAGGGAGATAGGGGTAACGAGGGGCAGAAACGTGAGGAGGCCTAGCCAATAGAAGCGGAGGAGGAGGAGCATAATGAAGAGAAAGAGGAGGAGGAGGAGGAGGAGGAGGAGGAGGAGGAGGAGGAGGAGGAGGAGGAGGAGGAGGAGGAGTTGGAGGAGGAGGAGGAGGGAGGAGGAAGAGGGAACAGGAGCAGCAAAGAGGAGGAATTGAGCAGGGCCGAGGGTTAGAGAGCACGTTCCTCTTCGAGACCACACCAAAAGGAACGTCAAGGTGGTCAAACGCCTCGCGGGTTAAGCCGACGAAGATGTGCAAAGTCCAACCGTTCGCCTATGTCCAAGGTTATGGCTTGACGCTGGGTCTGGTGCACCAATTTCATCTTAACCGAACAGATTGGTTGCGCCCCTTGACGTTCGTTTGGCGTGTTCTGCAGACCTGACCCCCCAGCCCTACTGAAAGGAGGAGGAGGAGAAGGAGGAGGAGGATCCACTGCCTCGATCAGGAGGTGTGGGTGGCCGACAACAGCGAGCTCCGGGCGACTGCCTCGTACGTCGCGTTCCGGCTCAGCCAGAACATCGACGACAAGATCAACGACGGCATTAGGCTGCGCCGTGGCCATCCAGTCGTGTCGGAGGAGGCCGGCCAATCAGACCTGCTCGCGTCGTGACCAAGGTCACCACCACGGATGGTTTTGACCTTCTTCGGCCTCTGCGAGCCCTTCCCAGGCCCTGGGCTGGTCAAACAATTGCC